CAGAGCCACCACCCAGACGGTGTACTCCATGTCAGGCTGCAGTCCTGGGATGATGTAGCTGAGAGTGGAGGGGTTCACCACTTCTGCTGAAGCAGACACTTGATTCTCAGGCTGGAGACAGATGCAGTAAGGGTCAGTATGTCTTAATGTCATGTCAGGATTTCTAAAAGTATGTTGTGAATTATAAACATCTCGTACAAGTTACAAACAGCCTTTGTTTGGATTGGATTAGGAAAATTGCAGTGGTGTTTTTCCCAACTTATGCTGAGATCACAATTCCAAACCAGGGCCTGGAAAATCAACCATTCATATCAATGATATATGCAAGTAGTTCCCATCATCAATTTTTTCAACTTTTTTGTGCTTTGTTTTCTTTCATATCATACTTTTCGTTCCATATTACTGCCCGGCCGGGCCCCGGTTTGGAAATGTGACCTCAGCCTAATCAATCAAGCCGCAGGCATCAGAGTAGATGCATGGTGGCTGTAGCCATGTCCCTCCAGGATGTTCTGTTTCTCAGCCTAACAACCTACTGAACAGGTACATGTACACTGACACATCATCAGACAACAACACAACATCTTAGATCTGTCCTTACATCTGAAACCAACACACTGTCATCTATCCCTTTTGACATCTCCATACATACAAACGTCTGTGGTATTTAGTCTGAAGGCTAGCATTTTGCACATATGCATCATTTTGTTCAATTAATCTCTAGGCCATTGTGACATCTCACCTGATAGTATATCCTGTATCCGGTAACATCGCCCCCTACCCGAGGTCTCTGCCACTGCACGTGGATGGTTGTTTGTCCAACATCAACAACTCTCACATCATCAGGGGCTCCTGGCAGCTGAGGTGCTTTATCAAGAAAGGAACATCTACTCTCAACATATTCTAATATGAAAACATAAACATTTTGCACTGGAAAGATGAAGCACTTTATCATATACATTTGTATATGTAACCCGAGAAACATCTAATGATAATCATTACACTTACCACATTACACCTAATGATATTTGTTAATATATCACTTTTTAGAAATGGTTGGGGCAGCTTTTTGAATGGCAGACTAACACAATAGATATGGCGATGCTCACTTTCTGGCAGGGTGCGTACAGTGATGCGTGCACTCCTCTGTCCCACCCCTGCTGCTGACTCGGCAATAACCCAGATGTTGTAGTCAGTGTTCGGCTGGAGATCCTCCAACACCAAGATCCTCCTGTCTGCTCGGCTTCTCTTGAAGGATATCATGGCCTCCCCAACAACCTGTAGAAATATGTTATCATCCTGTGAGTCTGTCTAATAGTCTCTGTCCTACCTGATAGTAGACCCTGTATCCTACCCAGTCTGTTGTCTGTCCTACCTGATAGTAGACCCTGTATCCTGACCCAGTCTGTTGTCTGTCCTACCTGATAGTAGACCCTGTATCCTACCCAGTCTGTTGTCTGTCCTACCTGATAGTAGACCCTGTATCCTGACCCAGTCTGTTGTCTGTCCTACCTGATAGTAGACCCTGTATCCTACCCAGTCTGTTGTCTGTCCTACATGTACCTGATAGTAGACCCTGTATCCTACCCAGTCTGTTGTCTGTCCTACCTGATAGTAGACCCTGTATCCTACCCAGTCTGTTCTGTCCTACCTGATAGTAGACCCTGTATCCTGACCCAGTCTGTTGTCTGTCCTACCTGATAGTAGACCCTGTATCCTGAGGGTGCAGCATCTGTTGCAGGTTCCTGCCACCGCACCTGGATGCTGGATGAAGATAGGGATGTTCCCTGGATATCCTGTGGGATCCCAGGAACACCTGATACTGGCAGGATGCGGCCTGGGACTCGAGCTGAACAAACAAACAAGATTGTTGCTTCCATGAAAATAGAGAAAACGATTGTTCATCCACAGAGTCTGGGGCACAGTATTGGAAGGCAAAGTCAAGTGTCCCCCACCTGGTATGATTGGAGTGAGGAAAGTTCAGGTATACATACTTTCCATAGACACAATCTTATCCAGACTTTAAAACATGGAGGCAGAGATCATCTATAGGATGAAAGACAAGGTCTCCAGTTACATTGGTAGAAACTTTGCACTTCCCCCACTACTTCTGTGACCACAGGGAGACTAGAAAAAGTGTTGGCTTTTGCTCAGTCCCTTGAGTGGTTGACTTCAACTGGTTTAGATTGTACATAGCAATATACATACATGTATTGTTACAAGCACTGTTTGCACCATTAGGTTGAAAGCAAACACCTTAGGACCACCAAGGACCCTGATAGTCTGATAGAAATTTCCCATAGCTTCTCTCTATCTAGTACATGTAACGTTACTTAAAAACCAACCAAGAACATTTCAGGAATGGGCTAAACGAGCTGCACAATACCACTAGTATATCATGCATGACTATATACTGTAAATTTAGTCACTTTGCAGGTACTTGATTTTGCAGGAAAAAGGGAAACTACGAGGTTTTCAATGCATTTTAAGACTGCTGAAAAGTGTCAGTGGTTTTCAAGAACTTCTCAAGGACATCTAGATCTTGAACACCTGGATATCTGAAGCTTCTAGTTTGCATGCTTTGAGAATCGCTGATTCTGCATTAGTAACATTACATCTTTTTAAAACTCCTTTTGTTTCTTAATACATTGAAATAATGAAACTTTATGGTAGAGTTAGACTTTGCACACAACTTAATAGAACAAGACAATCTGGATACAAAACTTTTCCCCAATAATCATTTCCCTAATGATTCTTCTTGGTCTAGTCTTGAATGACAGTACAGATACATGTAGCTGTGTCTCACCAGTCCTGATGCGGACCCGGGGGCTGTCCTCACTATCTCCTTGGTTGGAGAAGGCAACAATCCATATCGTGTACTCAATCCCAGGCTCCAGACCCGACACTGCCTGACTCTGTTGCAGAGGTCCTGTCTCTACCATGGAGGGCAGCTGGTCTCCACTCATGGCCTGTACAACAGTTAACAAGGCATCTATATTATACAACTTACTACATACAAGTATAAGTTAAGGTCTTTCTGGATAATTTATGAAAAGATGTTAATAGATATACACTATGCATGGTACAAACAACTGAAACATGTGACACTTTAAAGCCTCGGTCACAACTCGCCGTGCGTGCTTTTTGTCCGTACGTTTTTGTCGTGGCTACGTCTGCTACGTTTTTTCTGTAAACGTAGGGTGGCCGGCCGAGGGAGTACGTCACTCGCAAGGTGTACGTACGTAGTCTGCACGACACGCCTGGCCGTCAGCGGTTGCGTGCATCGTACGTTGCGCAAGTGGTAAGTGAGTTGTACGTGCTTACAACGTACGATCTCTGTGCGATTGCCACGTTGCCGCGTGCAGGCCGTACCTACACGTGCGGCGTGCGCACGATTTCCTTACTCACTCGCACGTTGTAAGTGCGTGCACCTCCTGTTAACTTCATCATCACTAGCCGCCCTGGTGTCTTCCGCGGCCCGTTTCTTTGGATCTTGTCTGGTAGTCTTCTTTTGAGCCTTCCTGGGCATCTTGGAGACGAGTTGGCAGTCGCCCGTCAAGTCGCTTTATATA